AAGGATGACCATACCCGAGAAAAAACAAGAAAACCTGAACACGTGTGCTAAGCTTGGTCGCGCTAGCTTGTGAGTGAGAGTACGGACACAGTTTTAAACAAGGAGCCTCAGAGATTCCTATGAGCTCCAGGAACACAAATTTTGATGCCAGTTTCGGGCTCAGCGATCCTGAAAACCTACTCCCAGACCCCCATCGTGCCTAGGTGACCTTCAGGACGCGTTTTAGCCCCATTAGTAATGAACTCCCCCACCCCACCCAGAGTCTACCTTTCAAGTTTTGTCCTGCAAGCTCCAGAAATATGAGAGGAGTTAGCTACGCTAATATAGGATTAATTATTGTTACGAATTATTTTCACAAAATTAACATATTTAAACATTTTATCGGTTTGAATATATTATAATGCAAAGGACAGCAACTATGTCGTAACTAATTATTAATCATTCATCTCTAATTAAAATGATCCGGAATAACTAGAAGGTCACACGGTAACCTAAAACGATTTAAATCTAATATAAACAGCTTTACTGTTTGTTTGCTATTAAGATACACAATGGGCTAGCGGTGCTGTGTCCACCGTAAGTATCAAAACCTGAATTTTAGCGTTATATGTCCTCAAACTTACTGCTGATCTAACTGTAGCTTCTGTGACAGTTTATATTTAGAATGTATATATTGTAAAAGAAAAAAATGATTAACAATGTTTCTGCTATGCGTGTTTTATAGCCTAACCTTACTCTAGTAGTTAGCGTGGTGGGCAATGGTCCTAGGGTCTATGGTTTGTTTCCTACTGGCGCAAAAAATAGTGATCCATATTTTGAGGCTGTTGTTGCGTTATAAGAATGACGGTAAGATCCCACTATTTTAGTAGAGTAGATAGTGGATGCTGTTGACTAGCTGCCTTCCTTCTATTACGTCATTTGTTCCAAACGAACCTAATTATATTCTAAACTTTAAAACTGAAATACTTTAGTCGTCGGTGAGACTCGTACTGAAGTCTCTATAATGCTTATATGTTTTCTTTATTAAATAAAATGCATCACTTATAGTTCATTTAAAATATATCCTACAATAAAATGTAAAAACCTATGAACATATTATTTTACTAATTTATTAAGGTTGAGGAAGATATTGGCCCTGATGTTTTCAAACTTTACTGTATATTATACTGTATAGCTCATGGTTTAAACCACTAGATCAGAGACCCCTAAGCTTCACCAATAACCACCTTTAAATATGTTTAATTAATAGTTGACAACTAGTTATCTGCAACTGTCACCCATTATGCAAAGGTAAACATGATTCTAGGTGCACCTCAAGTACGGAAGATAACATCATTACTTGTAACTAGTTACTATTTGTAACTAGGATCCTAATTAAGTTGATAAACAACAACTATTATAACTAGGAACCCAATTAAGTTGATAAACAACAACTATTGTAACTAGGAACCGAATTAAGTTGATAAACAACAACTATTGTAACTAGGATCCTAATTAAGTTGATATACAACAACTATTGTAACTAGGATTCTAATTAAGTTGATAAACAACAACTATTGTAACTAGGAACCCAATTAAGTTGATAAACAACAACTATTGTAACTAGGATTCTAATTAAGTTGATAAACAACAACTATTGTAACTAGGATTCTAATTAAGTTGATAAACAACAACTATTGTAACTAGGAGCCTAATTAAGTTGATAAACAAAACTATTGTAACTAGGATCCTAATTAAGTTGATGAGCAACAACTATTGTAACTAGGATACTAATTAAGTTGATAAACAACAACTACATCATTATTCCGTGTTCACCTATAGACGATAACTGATATAACAGATTCGTATGACATATTATCACTATTGGTTGAACGATGTATAAATTAAACCTTTTACAACCCATTAGTCCATTAAAAGACTGTATGTGCTAATCACTCGTGGATGTTCATGAGGAAATATTCAGATTTATGTGTTGTTTTCAAACACGGATGCTCATTTTCAATGGAGAAGTCCACCATATAATTAGTTGTAGTTTTACTTTAATCGGTTTGTATAGTCTGTCTAACTATCTGTTTTTCTTGTTTCTTCAGTCACACTCTTAAGAAAACTTTCCCTTTTTTTACTTTACTACACGTTTTACGTGTAACAGGTAATCATACTAAGCACAAAGAAGGACAGAACTTGAAGCTGATGTTCTAGAAACATAATCATCAGTTATTCAACAATCTATCCAGTAAGTTTATATATTTTGAGAGAACATTTATCCACCCAAGACTTTTTATATTATCAACCAATCTCTGAGTGAGAATTATTTGCCAAAACTCTTCAAGGTCTAGCCTAGAACATAATTCAAGTTTCTATCTTTTCAAATAAAAAAATTGGAAAGGGATTCCAAATCTTTATATAAATGTATATAATTTCCTGTTGTATTGCTAAATTACAAAATGCTGACGTAGCATGCGATTATAATCAGATAACATATTGCCAGAAGTTTCAATAAAAAATAAAGATTTGCTTTACCAGGAAGTGGTACACGCAACTACACCCACTAAGTTGGTATAAAAGCAGCTCACCACATCCTTCTGTACATTATCCTCTCACCATCAAGCATCTTTATACTTAGACTGTTGGAGAAAGTTTTAAGTTTTCAGCTCTTTAACAATGAAAGTTCTTTTTGCAACAATTCTACTCACTGTTGCTGCCTTTGTTGCTGCCCATGGACCCCATGACGAAATGGAACAGTTGCTATGTGGTAAGAATTTCTGTATTAGAAACTGGTAAATATCTCTTGTATAAGAATAGACTTAGAATTTTCCGTGTTTTAGTTTTCAGAAAATATGACAAGACGTGTGTGTGTTAATATATTTCTATAGGATACAACGTGCTATCATAACTCATTAAGTAGTAGAAATTTTATAATAATATGAAGCACAAATACGTGTTATTTTCGTAAAGTCAATGGCTTACACTAACGTCAAAAGATAGTGAACAATAGAGGCTTCGCTAGGTGCTTAAAAGATTCGGGGCTAGA